ATTCTCGAGAGAGAGTTCACCATTTAATCCCCTTATAAATACGTCTAACGCCCTATTCCTATAACTACTTATAAGAGCGTTTACAGTTTCCTGTGAATAGTCCTGCGCTTTGATTTTATTTATTATCAACGATAATTGATGATTAACCCTAGCATAGAATTAATCTAAGCTTCAAGTTCTCTGTACCAAGGCATTTAATTCATGTTCTAATGTCGTCATATCACGCTTGTCTGCATAATGAAGAGAAAGACATGTTTTAATCTTTCTCCAGTCCTCGTCGAAAATGTTATATAATGGTAAGGCTGTATCCGCCGGTCCCCTAATTTTTTGTCTAATGTGCTGTTATATAGCACGATATATAGGTTTACCTTTTTCTAGTTATTGTATCTGTTTATTACTCAATTAAATACCAACTCTAACATAAAATATTTACACAAAATGACAGTATTCATACTATGTCAAACTATCATAGAATATGGTAAGTGAAGGGATATAACAGTCTCCCCCACTTATAAAAACTAACAATTACATAATTTCATGTTATTCGTAGTCCCTTAAATGTGGCGGTCGTGTTTTTATTCTGGTTGATCTTCTTAACGTTTGTGGTTCCTCAACGCCTTCAATGATGCTCTCACTTACGGGATCATGTACTTCCCCGTTATTAGTCATCCCATGGTCTGAAGTTTTGTCAGTCTGAACTGCTGGTATATCAGAAATGTATTGTTGATATTGTTGACTTGGCAGCGATATTTCATTATGTTGTTTTGATGTTACTTGAATTTGCTTTGATTGTACTGCGGTACTTTTTAATTGATTTATGTGTCGCTTCAATGTGCTTCCGTCATCCATTTTTACAAGATAGTGTAAACGACCAAGTTTTTTCAGAACCTTCCCAATTTTCCAGATTCTTTTATTATTTGAGAAATGAATTGCCTGGATCCTCTGACCTTCTTTTAGCGTTCGAATACCTCGAATGTTCTTGTTTGTTTCCTTCTGGATAACGGGCTTAATTGTCTTTAACTGAATTCGAATTTGATGATTAAGATACAATTCTGAAGGGCTTTCTCCGCCGATCAACGGTGTAGCTCTATATCTCATAAGAATTTCATTAACCTTCTCGTTAATAGGTCTCGCATCCGATGCCATTGCTTTTAATTTCCTTTTTAAGGTTTGGATGCTTCGTTCTGCCAAACCATTTGTGCTTGGATGGTATGGAGCAATAAATTTTTGAAATATACCATTCTGGTTGCAGTATTTTTTGAAAGTATCACTTGTAAATAAAGTTACGTTATCCGATACCAATACGTGAGGAAAACCGTGACTTGAAAATATTCTGTCTAAAAGTTTGATAGAACTCTCTGAATTTGGAGCTTGCTTTAACATACTTACTTCTGCCCATTTTGATTTCGCATCAATGACAACTAAGAAGTAATAACCTTGAAATGGACCGGCATAATCTATGTGAATTCTCTCCCAATTGGTTTGTGGTGATTCCCAATGATGAACGTGAACCTTATATGGCATTGCCTGAATTTTAACACATTCTTCACAAGATCTTACTGTTTGCTCAATGTCTTTATCGATGCCTACCCAGTAACAATATCTTCTAGCTAATTGTTTCATTTTTGTAATGCCACAATGAGTACGGTGAAGCTCTTTTAATATTATGCTTTGCAAACTGTTGGGTATGACAGCTCTTGAACCTTTAAATATAATACCGTCGTTTACGTAAAATTCTTGAATGTTGTTAGATTTTAAAATATCTGTTTTTAACTTTGATAATTTTTCATCTTTTCCAGTTTCAACTGCAAGAATCTTTGAATCTAATTGTTCGTTTGAAATTTCAAAAATGGTTGTATAACAGATTTGACTGACATCCTCGTTGATGCTTTTGTCTCTAGATTTTCTCGAATTATTTGCTGTTATTGAATTTACCACTTGACTCTCTTGTTTGTTTATTTTATTGTCTATCTCATGGAGATTTATTTTTAACTTCCTGATCCATGACCTTCCCAATAGTGGTGAATACTCATTTGGCACAATGTACATGCTTTCTTGACAAACGCGATTACCATACTTAACTTGAACTATAGCTACTCCGTCTGGCACAAACACATTTTTTGTGTATGAACGGAAAGCTATCTTAGAACGCGAAACATTTACTTCCAAATTCAAGTTTTCGAATAATTTTTTTGGTATTAATGTATAACCTACGCCTGAATCTACTTCGAATTTTTGATACTTTCCATTTATTTGTACAGTTACGAAATATTTTGGTGAAACGTTGCTGTCTATTTGTTTGTTTCCGAAAATATCAACTATTTTATTAAAATCATGAATTTGATTGATTTCTGTTTCATCGTCACTGACTTGATTTGTATCTCGCATTAATTTCTGAATGCATACTTTTTCGACGTGTCCCTTTTTTCCACAAGCGTAACACTTTAGCTTAGAAGGATTTACCCGACAGTCTCGGACTCTATGATTACGGCGGGCACATCGAATACACAAGTCTTTAATACCGAGCTCTTCGAAGTTTATTTTTGAACGTTCATTAGTTTTGAAATTCATTCTTGGCAGATTGTTTTTGTTTGTAACACGATTGATATCTGTGACAGAATTTTCAGTCGCTTCTACTTGATTTGCCCTTATCTCTCTGCTATCACTTTTTGATGCTTCTAACACAACCGCTTTCTCTACAATTTCCTTGAAGTCTATATTTTGAGTCTGTAGCAATTTTTCTCGAATTGAATTATCTTTAACCCCACGAATAAATAGGGCTCGTAAAAACACGTCTGCTATATTTGCTTTGCACTCACATGGAGAAATAAAATTGCATTCAATGACCATACTTCTCAGTTGAGTCACATATTCAGCAATCGATTCATTTTCCTGTTGATAAATAGATAAAAACTTATGCTGAGACACCAACACGTTTCTTTTCGGACAAAGATGATCTTCTAATGCTTGAATAATTGTATTGTAAGGTAATTCCGTGACTTTTTTTGGTGCCATCAATGCGACTACTAATTTGTAGTGAATTGCACCAATTGAATTTATCAGCATTTGATGGCATAATTCTTTATTTTCGAAAATGTTCTTGAGTTTTAAGTAATTTTCAAATCTTTGACGGTATAAATTGAAACTTTCCTTGTTGCCGTCGAAATTTTCAAACGGTAGTAGTAATGTTTGCGCCTGCCCCGAATTTTTCACTGGCTGCCAACTACCCAATTGTTGAATAAGCTTATTTTGATTTGCATTAAATGCATCTAACAATTGTGCAAATTGAGAAGCATCCATTTATTATTTACTTTTTTTTTTTTTCTCCTCGTCGCCAATTATTGTATCAGTTTATTACTCAATTAAATACCAACTCTAACATAAAATATTTACACAAAATGACAGTATTCATACTATGTCAAACTATCATAGAATATGGTAAGTGAAGGGATATAACACTAGTGTATAATCTTTTAAAATGGATTCAACACAGTGAATCCAAGAAATATATTGTACAGAATTTCCCTCGAAAACTTGTAAGTCCCTAATACAGTCTGGGAGTTTTCTTATTTCTACTAACTCTGCTTCTGTCAAAGGAGCTGTATGAATTTCACCGCTGTGTGATGGATGACTGACCCCAGTTTCTAGCTGATTAATTCTATTGTTCATTACTCGTATTTGCTCAATTTGAGCATTGATGTCGTGGTCCTACAGTGGTTGAATAAAAATACAATATGGTTAAGGAGGGTGGACAATTTTGTTTATTATTTAATGTTGAATTGGTTGTTGAATTCTGCTGCCAATGGCTGCGCGTCGCAGTATATGTGGGTTTTCAAGTCGTTTCTGTTGTGGAGTATGAGATTCTGCTGCTGATGGCTTCACGTCGCAAGATGCTTGGGTTTCACAAGTCGGTTCTGTGGTGCAGTATGAAATTCTGGTTAACTACTTTTTCCTTCTGTGTAAGCTTCAGAAATTGCATTTTCGCTGGATACGTTCCGTAGTGTCAGCGCATTCCATGATCACGTTGTGGTCTTCAGAATTGTTGGCTTCAGCTGTAGTTCGCTCTTACAGTTTTGTAACACGATACTCAATTACAAGGCCAATTTTAAATAATCTTTTATATTTGGCCGAACCGGTTTTCAACACCCTACGCATTACTACATTGACAGCTCCTGTTAATTGAGTAATGGCATCTTGAATCTGTTCCATTTTAAAAAATATCTCACAACAGAGTAACTTCTCGCAGAGTTAGTAGATTTAATTATTCTTGGTTAATTTTTCTCTTTTTTAAAGGTATTTGAACAAAAGTAAAAGTAACAAAATGTTTAATATTAGCGCCTATTATGAATTGTCTATCGCTGATAGACTTGATAGACTAGAAAAAGTTCTACTGCTGATAGACAAAATCAAATTTTGGTATTATGAATTGCAAACCGATAGAAGTTTTTCTATCAGCGGTAGACAAATTTCTCTACTGCATTTGAGCAGTAGAAGTTTGTCTATCGTATAAAATAAATGCTGTTAAAACGCTTTATACAGTCAATTTAACATATAAATTTAATATAACTTAAATATTACTAATTTAATAGTTAGTAATAATTCATTTAGATTTAATATTATATAATATATCATTTTATATATCTGTTTTCAAATGTAGTGTATTATATATTAAAAGTAACGGTTGTTACATTTTTGTTTTTTTATCTTATTTGCTTATGTTTGCTTATTCTAACATTTTGTAGTTAACTTCACTGTAATACAAGGATCTTTATTATACTTTAAATATATTTTTCGACGAATTATGTAAGTTTTTATATAATATTAAGAAATAATAAAATGAATAAGGTTTGTTGTAGGGCAAAATCAATAAGTAATAAAAAGCAAATAGCAAAACTTGTTGCAAATATGGAGAAATATCCAGATATTGCGAAAGGTATTTGCAACAAGGCTTTTACAAGGATTTTATACTTTTAGAGGAGATGTAATTAAATTTCAATTTTTTAATGCATAATTGAACGTGCAATTTTGTCCCTTAACAAATGCGGATTTGCGCCCAATGGCGAGTCGTCATTCGAAATTTCCAATAGATCATCTTCCGGCTCATTATCATCGTTATCTTGATATACATCTGGTGGTGTAGGCTCGGACAAATCGTATTTAATGCAAATGTTGTGTAATGCTGCACACACATGTATTATTTTTGTTGCTTTTTCTGGTGTATAATGCAGACATCTAGCTCCAATTAAGCATCTGAAACGATTTTTAAAAGTGCCAATACATCGTTCTATGATCTCTCTTCCTAGGACATGCTTCTTATTAAATTGTTGTTCTGCAGAGCTATCTGCAGGGTTCCGGTATGGTGTCAAAAGATATGGTTTCAAGGGATACCCTGAGTCTCCTGAAAATTAATTCAATTAATAATTTGTTTTAATATTTTACTTAAAATTTACCTAGCAACCAAGTATTCTGCATTCCGTTTTGATATTCAGTTTCCAAATGCGCTTTGAGATTTGACATATTGAAAACTAAAGAATCGTGAGAAGATCCTGGATATTTTGCACTTACATATCTTATCTTTCTTTTGTGGTCACATACCTTGCAGTACGATTTAAATTAATTTGGCATGTGTTCGAACATTAACTCATATATACTTACAATCATAGCATTTATGCTGTGATATCCTTTTCTGCAGAAATATAGATGTTGTGTGTTTTTTAATGATACAATTTTTATATGTGTACCATCAATAGCGCCAATGATGCCCGGAATACCACATTTTTCATAAAAATAAAGCTTTGTCGCACAAGTTTCTGCTCCTGTATTTATAAATGAAACATACTTAGGACAAATTGTGCTCTCCAATGCATTCAATACTTCATTAATTATTACGGACAGTGTTGACTGCGCCATTCCAACAATGCCCTCGTTACCTATTCCTAACTGATAAGAACCTTGCGCAATAAATCTTAATAAAGCAGCCAACTTATTTACTTTTAAAATTGCTTGTACCGCTTTGCAAGTGGCCATCGATTTCGTGCAACACTTCCAGAAACGCTTCCTTGCTCAAGCGATAGTTAGCAATAAATCTTGCTGTGTCCGGTCTTCGGTGGGCGAAGTAACACTGCAGTGAACGTGGAGCGGTGACATGGTGGCCAGCCCGGTATGCTCGCCGGTTTTGGGGGTGATTCTTCTCACGTTCAGCAACAATCGCGGATATCAACAAAAATTCATGTCACCGGTTTGCTGTGGAAGAAAACCATTTTTGTGCGGAACCTACATCTAACACAATCACAATATAGCCATTGCCTAATTGATTTCGCTATATTGCAGCAGCTTGAAATGTCCTCGTCTGTTTTGTCTGTATCATCTTTCACACTACATTCACTCGGTCACTCTGCAACTTATATACATTCTATTTTTCCCTAGCACTTCCACCACCGGCAAATAACTAAACCTTACTCCTGCATACTATTTGAGTTTTCCATCAAAAAAAATTTCTTCTCCTTTTCTTTTTTATTTTTTCTTTCTTTTTATTTATTAGATTCAACAAAAGTCATGACAATAATAATCTTAGTAATCTTAAACCTAACTAATTAAATCATAATAAAAAAAAAACCAAAAAAAAATAAGAGAAAAAGAAAAATATACACAATCCAATCTTTTAACTAAATTTTTAAACAAAGTAACAATTTCTCTTTACACAAGTTCGCGTGTCTTACCTTACAGCTGCTAGAATGACGTCACCCACGCTGCTGTTGACCTAGCTGAAACTTATGAATAATAAAAAAAATATATGTATATGTATTTTTATATATTTAGGACTCTTTAATATAAAAAAATTTAAAAATCTCTTTTTTTTTCTTTTCTCTCCTTTTTTTTCTCGTTACTCTTATTTTTTTTTTTTCTTTCGTATATATATCGTATGCAATTTTTAAGACAATATTTAGTAATTAATATAATTCAACTTTCGAGATAATCTTTTTTTTTTTCTTTTCCAAATTTAATTCCTAATTTTAATTTTCATTTTTGCAATTCTTAAGATAATATTTTATGCAATTCTTAAGATAATATTTAATAATTAATACAATTCAACTTTCAGGGTAATCTTTTTAACATCCAAATTTAATTTAATCCTAATTTCATTAATTCATCACAATTATATGTTAGTGAAAAATAAAAATATACAATGGAATATATCTAATAAAAAAATATAAAAAAATAAAAAAAATATATAAATGCAGACACGTGTGTTTCAGTATAAGATAGATTTTTTTTCTAGTGCAGGAATACCTGTACACCGTTGTGCCTTAACGGTGTGTATTGATCCCGTTGAATTCTTCCAACAAAAGTGAATTTTGTTACCGGTCCAATATCCCTATGGTCATGTCTTCTAGTTTAACTATTTATCACTTCACTATCTGCTATATCCCCAATGTAGGTATTAACATTTCGCCACAAAACAGCTTTATCACTTTATTTCGGCTTCTTTGGGTGGTTTTCATTTAGAAGAACCCCAAATTTTTATTTATTGTGTTATAATTGTTAATCACTAATGAGTTTTATGTATCATTTCAAAATTTTTGCTCATTCTTCTGTTGCACTTGACTTGTCATAATACATTTGCATATGTCTCTATTTGCATATGTCTCTATTTAAGCATATTTCGGAAAAAAAACTATTCATTATTTGGCATAAAACTCATGCATTTGATCCACTTTTTAAGAATATGATTAGAGACGATGCAAATTTAATGAAGTTTTAATTATTATCTCTTAGGTTTTGAAACAAACTTGGCTTTTATTAGCACTTTTCAATTTTTAATTATTATCTCTTAGGTTTTGAAACAAACTTGGCTTTTATTAGCACTTTTCAAATTTAATGAAATTTTTAATTATTATCTCTTGGGTTTTAAAACAACTTGGCTTTTATTAGCACTTTTATTCACTTTTTTTTCTTTTAATCTTAAGTTTTGAAACAAACTTGACTTCTATCAGTACTTTTAAATTTCGATAGTTCATCAACCAACAGCAAAGGAAAAAGAAAGAGAGCCATCACCGTGTCTGCTATGGCTTTTATATCCAATTCGCCTAACTGATAAATTCCTATCATGTTAGTGATCCTGTTAGCAAAGCTTGCTTTCGTTAATTTGCGTTAGCTGGCCTTGTTTGACTTGAGGGTAATAACCTCTAATAAAGCTTCTTTTTTCTTTCTCCTTTTCAATAAAGCTACAATTTGTCTTAGATATTTCGAGTGGTTATTCGCACTTGGCAATACTGTCCCCTCTCATTAAGTCAAACTTTACTGAAGCTTTAGTGAAGTTCGCCTTAACTATATTGCACTAAACAAACGAGACTTGAACGTAAAAGCTTTACTTTTCGCCTTCTCTGTTTACCACTTTTGTTTACTTCTATTTTTACTGATAGCGTGCGCGCAATGCACGTTGTAAATTTAATAAATTGAAATTCTTTCAATAGTGAGCGCAAATATAACACATTTAAATTCTATAAAAAAATTACTTGTGGACTATATAATAAAAAAAAGTGAACAGCGTACTTAATAGTTATGCGCAAGAGGAATACTGTTGGTGGTCACATTAAAAACACCTTGACAATGTCGGCGATATAATAAAAAAAATAACTGAAGTACCCATGGAAGCCACATAAATTACAAGGTATGTTAACGTCATTAATATTCACGTTGTTTTATTAACTCTTCGTTTACCCCTACCCAGGCCTACATGACAATCTTTTAAATGAAAACAAATATATTAATCACAATTATACATTTATCACATTTGAATTTACGTTTGTGTATCATATTTCAGTGGATTTGCTGCATCTCGAATTCTGCGTCTGTATAGACGAAGATTTGTATTTTCATCGTCTTCCGATGAAGACGAATACCAAATATATACTGTGGACATTTTTTTTTAATTTTATATATATTTTATAAAGAATTTCAATTCAATTCTTAGCGAACAAAATTAAAAAAATAAGTTCAATTAAAGCTGGGCGCTCTAAAACCTTTACATCATTCACAATAGTGCAAATGTTTGTCTATCAAGTTTCATAATACCAAATTTGCCTATCAATCGACTCAGTAGACAAATGTCTATTGTCTATCGGTAGACATTTCATAATAGCCACCATTGGCTTAATAATAAATTTAAACAACACTATGGCTAATAGTTTTATATTAATTTTTTTTTAAAAAAAATATTTTCTTCAATAAATTTGCAAAATTAAAAATATTAGTATATGTTTACTAATTTCAGAACTTTCTTTAAAAATATTTCTTATAATATTTTAATATATATCTTATATATATTTAATATATTTTCATACGTATATATCAAATATATATCTTAAAAGTTTGACTTACAGGACGAAGATCACCATCTGCATTGTTGTGGACGATCCGTTAAAATCCCTTTTAGAGTTGTCAGGCCCCTACTCACGGAACGGTTGGCGTCACTGCACTTTTATGTTTGAATGTTTTCGCCAAAAGTTCATACGTGAAGTTAAAGGTGTTACACTTTCACTTCCTTTTTCGAAAAAGTTAATATTTGAAATTTTATATATTACACTTTTAAATTTCTTTCCCTTTTTGTAAAAAGTTAATATTCGAAATTTTACGTATTACACTTTTAAATTTCTTTTCTTTTTCGCAAAAAGTTAATATATGATTTGAATCGCGAACTTTAAATAAACGCGTAGTTCAAGTAGTTCAATGCTAGAAGCCGTCCTAGTTGGTTCCCACTTACGCGTTTCGTCTGGGGACTACCCAGACTTATCAGAGTGAATTGAAAAATAAGTTTGTCATTATGTATTAAGTATATGAGAAATTCTGTCCATGTATCATTATAAAACCAATCAAAAGTTACTTACATTTTATGATTACTCCTGACTTTTAACACTATATTAACTAGGTTTCTAAATTTAAATTGTTAAAGCAAGAATGTTTAATTGTTAAATGTCTTTTAAAAGCTCCAATAACTTTTCCCTTCTGAATTTATGTTAGATTTTACATTTTTAATTCAAATTCTCAAATTCTTATACTCAGTTCTTTTTATCTTTAAGACATTAAATATCAATTACGTTTGCGATAGGTATTTCTAAAATCCTGTTGCTCCTGTTGTTGCTGTTCACATAGCTTCTGCGGTTGATGTTGCATGATTGATGGTGGCTGGTCATTTGTAGCTTTTGGCGCGAATAATATAGGAATTGCATCAGTTTCTATTGCCTCATTGCTTTGATTTGTTCCGTTGTAGGCTCTTAGTTGATTGGAATGACGTTTCACATACCCAGCATCTGTCTTTACTATATACAATAATTTTCCAAGTGGACGACTAATAGTTCCTTTCAGCCATTTTTCCCCTCTTGAATAACTTCTAAAAAAAACTGACTGATTAGGTTGAAATTGTGCATTAGAATTATTTTTGCTATCATAAGGTTGATGAAATTGTCGAACTTGGCTTAATAATGTTCGTACCTTACGACCATGTAATAGTTCGGCTGGTATTTTACCCCATGTGTTAGGTGTAAAACGATATGTTGACAAGTATTTTACTAAAGCATTTTTAATCGTCAACCCTCCATCTATATTTTTCAGCATTCCTGTTTTAAAAGTTCTAACGAACCTTTCAGCTAATCCATTAGAAGCCAGATGAAATAATGCAGTCGTAACATGCTTTATCCCATGGCTTTTACAAAAAATTGCAAACTTTTTAACAGTTAGTTGGGGACCATTATTGCTAACAATGGTTTCGGGTAACTCCTCTATTGCAAAAATCGACGATAGAGCTGCTATTGTATCGGATGTTGCACTGTTTGTAAGCTGACAAACAAATGGAAATTGTGAATACGCATCGACACATATTAACCACATCGAGTTATAAAATGGTCCTGCAAAGTCGATATGCACACTTTCCCAAGGTCGCATCATTGCGAGCCATTTCTCAAATTCTTGTTTGCATAATGGATTGTTTGTTTTACATATATCGCACTGTTTCATCGTCAATTTCCTTATCCATGTTGACCCACAATACATGTTGTCATGCTAACTGCTTCATTCTCGTACTACCATTGGGGTAGACCATCATATAAAAGTTTTAATATTTGCTTTGTTAACGTTTGAGATATAACAACTCTGACACTATCTGTATGTAAACAAAGTAAATTATCACATACTCTTAATGCAGTTTTGCGATTAAAATATGGTTTAATATCGGAATCATTGTGATCCAGTTTTTCAGGCCATATTTTACAAAATTCATCACTTTACGAAGATTTTTGTCGTTTTTAGAATGCTTTACAATAACAGCTGCATATACTGGTGTTTTTATAACAATTATATTAAAACAGTCTTCCTCCTTGTCAAACGATTCATCCGTTCCTATGGGCAAGCGAGATAAGGCGTCTGCATTACCATGCTCTGTAGATTTGCGATATTTAATTTCGTATGAATAAGCCATAAGAATGATGGACCATCTTTGGAATCGGTTTGATGTCATAGGTGGTAAATGTTTATTGGGATTAAATATATTAGTCAGTGGTTTATAGTCAGTAATTAATATAAATTTTCTTCCGTATAAATATTGATGAAATTTTTTTACGGCGAAAATTATTGCAAGACCTTCTTTTTCAATCTGGCTATACTTAGCTTGATGTGCATTTAACGTTTTTGATGTAAAAGCGATTGGCCGTTCACTTCCGTCTGGATATTGGTAGGAAATGACAGCGCCGATGCCGTATGAAGATGCATCAGATGCTAATAAAACTGGCAAATGCTCTTGAAAGTGTGCCAATTGAGTTGCATTTACAATATGTAATTTTAACGAATTAAATGCTTCTTGCTGTTCATGTTCCCATTAAAAAGAAACAGAGAAACGAGTTTTTCAAATCGTTTACTGCGCGAAGACCACTTTCATCTGGCAAAATACCATTGGCACTTATACGCCGGCCCAAATACACTACTTCGTCACATAGGAACGAACATTTCTCTCTTTTACAAAGTATGCCATTTTGTTTAAGAATATGTAACACTTTTTCCAAGCATTCTAAGTGTTCTTCTATGGTTGGGTTGGTTATGATGATGTCATCAAGATAATTACCGCAGAGTTGTACACCTTGAATAAGTTGCTCAAAATATTGCTGGTGCACTAGCTATTCCTTAAACTACTCTCTGATACTGAAATAACCCTAGGGGCGTGTTGACTATCATTATAGACTTTGAATTTTCATCCAGCTTCATCTGCAGATATGCATCTTTTAAATCAATTTTAGAAAAATACATATTACATCGAAGTTTATGCAGCAAACTTTCTCTAGTTGGCAATGGATATTGTTCGATATCGATCTGGCTATTGACAGCTAGTTTAAAATCTCCACAGATTCTAAGTGAATTGTCTGGTTTCTGTACCAGAACAATAGGTGAAGCCCAGTTGCTAAATTTTACTTGCTCCCATATGCCTGCTCTTACTAAACGTTCTACTTCTGATTTAAAATCGTGTAATTGCGAAAATAGAATTTGTCGGCTTTTGCAAAATTTTGGTGTTGCGTTTTCCTTCAAAAATATTTGTGCTTTAAAGCAAGCAACAGCCAAGGACTCACGGTTGGAGAAAAAGAACCCAAAGTGTCGAACACAGCCATGATACTCACTTGACAACACCACAAAATGCCGTGCCAATATCTCAGGTGAACAACTCGGAAGACGTGCTGGAATTAGACTGTGATTGGCGCGCCATTGAAAAAGAAATGTCTCAGACGTCGCGGCCGTACCAAAACGAAATTTGTAACACTTGGCCCCCGGAGTTAGAGGAGACAATACGCGACGCACTCAGCAAACAAACTAAGGAAAAACGCTTCTCTTGTCTACGTACCGTCTCCGTTACTTATTTGGTGCGCATCAATAAGCAGAGAAGGTAAATTTTAACATGTAATAATAAATTAAAATGAGCTTTTGTATAGAAATTTGTTAGCTGTCTCTCTCAGCTGTTTGAATTGTGTGTTAAGATATGTAAACAATTTTGCAAACACAAGTGTTTTGTAATATCACATTAAATTTAAATAATTTCTTATAAAGTGACAATAAATATACAAATTAATAAAAATGGAAAGTCTAGGCAAGTTTCATTTCCGCTATGAAGAAGAGCACTGGCGCTGGTCTTACAGCAGATATGGGGGAGAGAAGTATCACAGGTAATAAGTTTAATGGATTCTTGAAATGTGCTTCAATAATTATGATAACATTGTGTTAAAGATATACCCAAAATTCGATTTGCTGTATGACATTTCACCATTGTCGAATCTGATGTTTCTGTGGAGTGTCTTATAAACCCACCAGAAGTAGAAGTAGAAGCCATTGCTATGCCCACAAATGTCCAAAATGAAATCGATTTAGCCAGTGCAGTGGAAGATTCTCCAACTCCATCAACATCGCACAACGTGATTTTACATCCTCCATTATTGCGTTACAACAACGCAGAATCGAAATGAAGGAACAGAAAGTAAAAATTATGAAGGAATACGCCGATTTAGACAGAGGACAAGTACTTCAAATGAAAAGTGCTTCCAATTCCTCACAAGGAATTGGAGCTGAAAAAATTAAAACCAGAGCTTGAACTCAAAAAATATGAAATTGATTTGAAAAAATCAGAAATTGTAAAAGTAACGTTGGATATTGATGAAAATAACAACAACAAATATTTCAATAGTTGGGAAAATGATATTTTTATATGATTTCATTTTAAATTTTAGTTATATATATATATATATATATAGTTTTAAATAATAGTTTTAGTTATTAGTTTAAAATATTATATTTATGTAATATAAAAATACAAAATCTATATAAGATTTACTTAAAATATTAGAGTTGTTTTCTATCATTTCGCAAATGAGTCGACGTTTGTTTTCTCCTTGCGCAGATGTGATATTGGGTTGAACATCTTCATTTGCAGAATTATCAGAAAGAGGTCCAGGCAATGGAAAGTCATCACTACAATTTTCTTGTATTGTAATATTACGTAAAATACCGCAAACATATATCCAACGCGTTGCCTCGTGAATGCTCTTATTGCTTTTAACTTGCAATTTTAGTTCTTTTAAACTGCTGAACCTCTCTTTTAATAAACCGAAACAATGATCAATGCGAATACGATAAGGGCTAAACCATGCATTAAATCTTTTCCTACGAGTTTCGGACAAGTCATTCGAATTTAAACGAAACGGCGTCACTACTGTTGGCGTCCATTTATAAGCACTATGACCAGCTATCCATTGCAAGTCACTGAAATACTTACTTGGGTTCGTAAATAACGAGCAGTTCTTAAATATTTTCTGTCGTGAACGCTACCAGCCTACCACCATATGTCGAATTTTTTTTTTGTTTGTCGCAAATTACTTGTACTTTAAAGCTGTAAATTTGCTTCCGAAAAAAGTATGCTTCTGGATTTTTAGTAGGCTTTTCAGCTAATTTTATCTCTGTGCAATACACGTAACCGATGCAGTGCGACAGTTCATGCATTGTTTCGGAAATAATTTGGTTACGTTCCTCGCTACTGGGCCAATATAAATAACTGTCTTTCATTTTAAGAATGACATCAAATACTCTTCTTGTAATATTTTCTATTGTGCCACCAAAGAGTGCAGACACTTTTCCAATTGAAGCACTCTCCCCGTGTTAATGTATTAACACCTAAGATATTGAGTTCACAGCACTTTAACTGTAACTCTTTATTTGAAAGTTGAGTTTTCAGCACTTGAACTAAACCTCTAGAAATGAAAGTGAGAGATCGAATATTGATTTCAATCTGATTTTTATTAAATTAAATTTTGCCTTAAATACTAAATTATTACAATAACAATATCAAAATTTTATTCTTTTCCTCTACCGTTTTCTTGCCCAAAGTGCAAGCTCAGCATATCTTATGCAACAAAATTTTTTTGTTGTGTCTAGCAACCAAGAATTAATGCCAATGTACTGGCCCTGATATATGTTACATATTCAAAGTTCAGTGCCACTGCACTTAACAGAAAAGTAATGCAAAATATTCAAAGTTCAGTGCCACTGCATTTAATCAAATTAAAATAAGCAAAGGAAAGCCAAAATTTGGATATTGCTAACATCAACATATATGTTCAACTTTTACAATAAATGTTTTACATATAGATATATATATTGACAATAATTAAATGTGTGAACACCCCGCTTGGGCCAAGCCTATACAATACTATCATTAGTTGCATTTTTACAGGAAACTGCTGACTTGCGTGAGCATCATTGAATACTTCATCATTCTTAACAGAATTAAGTATTTTTCTAAATGTTGCCCAATTAACGCGCATACAGCGTTTAAACCGAAACTCAGGCATTTGCAACAATGCATCTGTTAAAAATGTATCACACTTCGACACAGAATGCATTATGTGTGGGACAGCATACCGTGACGATTTCGCGATGGCCATATAAACCAAGAAATCTTCTATAACGTCAACTTTCTTCTCCATTATTTCTATTAACATAGAAAACACGCAACTTTTTATTTAAATATATGTACAAATTCAAATAGGAAATTACCGCTATCTCCAAATTCTTCAACAGAATTTAATTCCTCAATGATTATTTTTTCTAAAGTATTTATTAATTTATTTTTTTCACTTTGTCTTGGCATTTAAAATAATATAAAATTATATGATAATATTTCACTGTTAACATATGTTCCGCTTTTACTGTTGATACGAGTGCTGCCAAGGCATTTGCACAGAAAAAACTAATCACATTACGGGTTTGCTATATATATTCTTTTTTGAATTTTGTTTTGGAATTAAATCCTCTCTTCTGCAGTGTCAATATTAAATTGTCTAATGACTTCGGTTCTCGACGGTATTGCTATAATATCGCCATTTGACATTGAAATTGTCTGGTCTTACTATTATCTAGTCTTGATTTTGATAGTAGTCAAGAATACAATTGTATTTTTTGATAAAGTCTGAACCAATTATACCATCAGTCGGAATAGAAAAGTTATTATTTACCACATGGAATTC